TGCGGGCTTTGGTGCAGGGGGGAACTGAGCACTTATGGACCTGTCCGGTGTGCTATGACGTTGTTGCCCAGGACAGGTAATACAGGTAACTGTATAAGGTCATTTGAGCGCCAAGAGGTGGAGGTCAACAGAGAAGATCAAACGGTTTACTCTCTTCGCCTCTCTAGCTTCAACAGCACAAAGTCTGCTTCGACTATCAAGGCACCCTGGAAATAACAGTTCACAAGAGTGTGACAAACATAAAAAAGAGGTAGAGGAAAAATGACGATAGTAAGGATTAGGAAAGAAGAAGCAGCAGTTGTTCCGGCACAGTAAGTGCATGACATTGATGAATCAGCCCTTTTACAATTCTCCTGTGCATAAGAACATGTTAATATCCCCCCTTTGGAGAAGGTCTAAAAACTACTTCAGTTAGTAGCACTGCCCTGGTGGGGGAAATGCCATCTTTGCAGTAATAACCTACATATTAATATTGTGTATTTCAGAAGGAGGTAAGAGTCTACTTTTTTAAAAACCTTTTCTTTCACACTTTGGTTCCGTTTGGGATTTTTTTTTCAAAGATATAGTATACATTATTTACATCACAATAACACCTTCCATTGGTAACTTTCATCCACAGATATATCCCATTCTGTCCCGGATTTGTTTTAGACAAGCCAAAGCAGCGAATAGAGGACATTGAGTTCACATCTTTCGACACGCCCAAACCAACAGCAGACTACCAAAAACCCGAGAGCAATGAGAAGGAGCAAAATCACTAGAACAGAAATAGACCTCAGCAAACACATTTTTATTCCATTTTATTTCACCCCTCTTAGATGAAGACCGTAGTCCTTTGCTCTGTTCTTAAGCATTTTGAAAGATTGTCCCGTGCATGGTTAACCGAGAACTGAATTTTACTATAAATATAATATATGCATGTATCTTTTTTATTTTACCTCCCGATTTTTGTGGGCGGTTATATTTTATTTTTTGTGGGCGGTTATATTCCAGTTGCTTATTTCCGTTTGGGTTTTCCAAGAAAACACAAACTAGAAGGCAATGTGTGTAAAGATATTTAGCTTGTATTTATACCTGTAGTTGGCAGCTAATAAATGCAGTAGCGGGTTTTTCCTGAAGTACATCCTCTTTTTTCTTAGAATGTCTCCTTTTCGCTGTTGTTGCTGGTTGGTTTTTAGTTTTTGTTTTTTGCTTGTTTTTTTTTGTCTGTTTGTTTGTTTGTTTTTGTTTATTTGTTTTTTGTTTTGTTTTGTTTTGTTTGTTTTGTTTTGAGGTTGTTGTTGTTGGGGGTGTTGTTTGTTTTTGTTTTTTTTTGGGGGG